CATTAGACCATGCGGACTGGCGGCCATTTTGAATTTGACCTCTCAGGGTCATCAGAGGTCAAATCTCATTTCCCTCCACATCTGAAAATAAATCTTATGATGAAAACTAACAATGCTAGAAGTTTCATGCTTTTATCAAAAAGTGCACAATTTTCTTGCTAAGCTGCTGCACTATCCGAAACATATGGCTCCGAATAGTCTCATTGGACAACGCCTCCTATCGTAAGAGTCCAGCAGTCAAAACCGTTTTAAAACGAAAATCACATCCACCCCGACGTACGCTGCCAATAGCTCTTTCATTGGAACCCTCATGTCCCATTGACTTTTGAAATTTCACACACCGTAATTTGGTCAAAAAAGGTCGCTAGCTCGCCATTGCCTATATAACACATGTGAAACAAGTCGAACTTTGGACGCAATTTGCCACGCGATTGCAAGGTTATAGGTCAAGCACACGAAGGAAAACAAGCATGAATTATCATAGATCGGTTCTGATCGGTTCATCATGTCCATTTCAGCCAACCCCCACCGTAATTTGTCCATTTAGTTTAGGCAAGCATTTTGCCGAGGTAAGCAAAAACATGAATATTCATGATCGCCATGGACTATTCGATTATTTACAGAGGGGTGCAATTGTGCACCACATCAAACTCCTCTACTTTAAGTCAAGTATTCTATTGTATTATGTAGTTTGGTAGGTTTATTTTAATAACTGTTTAATTATCAGATATCAATGATAGTTTAAAGATATGGAAAATGTTCTTGTATTTTATATTTAGCAAAGCAATATCACATACAAAATCACTACCAAGTGTCGTATAATCCGCCAATTGCCGTCTGCTATATACGTTCAAGGCACACTTATCTGTGAACTATGATGTAGATCGACAGTTTACTCGTCATTGTAGAAATATGATTAGCCATCTGTCATTATTAGTCTTTAATTGTTGACACACATACAATTACCACACACACTCTCACTCTCACTTCCCCCTCCCCAACACACCATTTTCGCACACCCGGTTCACCCAATGGCATACACCCTGCAACAGAGTGGAACATTCTAGTTTGGTAGTGCCGTCGAACTAGCTACGTTTGTGCTGTCAATGGTCTGCGAGCGAAAATGTGACAACAGGAGCAATATGTACCCGCTCATCATCATCCATCTGGCTCACTCATGTCTCTCTAAGAAACGTGCTGGTGAATTGTCTTTCCCATAGGTTGCTGCAAAACTGTGGAGCCAGCTACCTACTGCTGTGCAGACGGCCTAATCTGTTGAACAGTTCAAGAAATTACTGAAGTCACCTTTATTTTCTGTGAAGTGACTTACTTTTGTTTTTAATACCCCATTCACAGTGGTTTTGAAATTTGTAGCGGCGTTGTAGCGGAGCGGCGACACCGCCATAACGCCGCTACAAATGCATTCACAGTAGAAAAGTTATCCCGCTGCAGCAGCGGGATAAATATCATGTACCCATTCACGCTGCAGCGGGTGATTTTTATTACCTCCGTAACAAACACGTGTATGCATGGCTCATGACCCGCGAGTGACCCCGATATGACCGGAAATACTTCAGCGCGGGGTTTTCGATTGCTTGAAATTGCGCGCGCTAGCTGTACTTTACACACTCTTCCTCATGTAGCTAGCTCGATCATATTACTTTTTAAAAAACTAGCATTTTTATTGCTTCCAGTCAGAATATTTTAATTTTTTGAAGTGTGAAATATTTTTATTTGGATAATTATAATATCTACATAATAATAAAATCAATTTGAATCCACTGGTTACTTTATTTCTATTTCACTTTATGTTCCCCATTGCTGGAGAAAAGAGGTCAGTGATAGGTAAGTAAACAAATCACACGTGTTTGTCGCGGTGTTATAGCGGAGAGCCTTCACACTGAGTAAACACCGCGACAGCAGCGGGACTGTCCCGCTGCTGTAGCTAGGCGAACCTAGCGATAGTTTGTCACGGCGTTATCGCGAGGCGGTGTTATCCCGCGATAGTTTATAACGGGTCCGAGCCTTCACACTGAAGACAACACCGCGACAGCAGCGGGACAGTCCCGCTGCTGTCGCGGTGTTTGAGGCCACTGTGAATGGGGTATAAGTGGCCCAAACAGTGTGGAGCGGTGTGTATCCGAAATGAAAAGCCGCTATATAAAATATTTTTTGGATTGGATTGGATAAGAATCCATGTTCTCTGTACACCTATGTGCATTACCGTACCTCACTGTGTAGCTTTTGTGTATTGTTTGCTTTAACGAACTTGAATGCTTAGACTCAGATCAAGCACAATGCAGCTTCTTCTTCCAGGACTATTCATCATTCTGTGCTGCTATGCCAGTGCTATTGACTCCATTGAGTGACCTTTGTCCATCCTTTGGGTTGTAAACCTTTCAACAGGAAACATTTCCTTAAAAGAAGGACCGCATACAGTGTTAACAGCAATGCCTCCTTCTAGCTAGAACTACTTCATGCCGGTGATGTCCACAATCAGTCCCAATTTTAAACAAACCAATGTGTTCAGTAACTTGAGTACAACATGATTTCATTTTAACAAGGAAATGTGCTTGGTCCCGAGCACCTCGTTATAATGGCAGTGGACTGTAACAAACAAAAAGAATAAAAGGAAATGTGTCAAATAAAATACATGTACTTTATTTTCGAGAGGTAAACACAATGACATGAGTTTAGTATAGTATGTGTGTTCATATAAGCAAATAAATAACAGAACTAAACTGATATTTACAATCTTTGGTTAAGTACTGTAGTGTACATGTAATAGTAATAGAGTTGTTCATGGTTTGCTATGATTATACTCTAAAAATATTTAAAAAAAACAAGACAAATGCGACTGCGTCTCCTATATGCCTCCGCCTAAAAAAAATATCATCCACCTAGAATGTAGCTTTCTATTTTTTTTCAAATAAAGTATTCAGGTGAGTTTCAGGACTATTACTGAGCCGATGCGGATATGCCAGGCGGTCACAAGCTCTCTCCCTCACTAGTAACCAAATAAGCAGTATTCTGGACATGAGAGTGTTGTTTTCTGTCTCTTTTATTACAATTTAATTACAAAGTGCTCTTAATAATGTAATAACATTTTCAAACATCAAGAAAATCATGACAAATAATATTTTTTCTCGTTATTTACAAAGATAACAAAATAAAATAAATCATAAAACGGATTTTTCAACAATGCACGCATGCTTTATAGTACAGTTGACATGTTACATAATTTTCTCAATCTCAATGGAACTGTCTTAATACAATCATCATAATCTAGAAACACTTACTACAAAATCAATGACATGTCATGTCATTGAGATATACCGTGTGAGTCAAAAAAAAGTTTACACCTAGAAGATTGCTAATTTTTTTTAAAATCATCTATGAACAGTAAATTATTATACATCTTATGAAAGAGTGTTTTATCCCAAATCATTTGGTACCATTTTTGTGTGGTATGTGTTCACGCTTAGATGAACAGGTGGCATTGTTTGCGAGAGTGCAAAAATCGACTTGCGCCAAAGTGATGCCTTCAGTATGTATTATGTTGGGATTAGCGGAGTGAGAGAATGGATTGAATGTATCAAATGAAATGCATTGCATGTTTTTTGCAAAGGGCAAAGTCACAGACACCCACAACCACGCGCACAAATGTTCGTTGATATTTGATATTCGATATTTGATATGTGTGGCATGATTAATTTTGTTAACGGTGTTATTTGGATCTGCAAAGACCGAATTAATACCCAAATCCCAATTGTTTTATTCAAACATCACATAGGCAACTTTTGCGCCATTCAATTTTTGCACTATCGCAAACAATGTCTCCTATTCATCCATGCGTGAACACATACCACACAAAAATTGAACCAAATGATTTGGGATAAAACACTCTTTCATAAGACATATAACAGTTTAATGTTCATTGATGATTTTTTTTTAATAATTAGCAATTTTATAGGTGTAAACTTTTTTTTGACTCACACTGTATATATAAACAAGAAAATGCAGACTTACATGCTACTATTTTCAAATAGTTTTACAAAGTATACCATCATTACCATGTATCACAAGTAATGGTCTTATGGTCCTTTATCTTCACAATATGCAGGCACTCATTGGCCCGAATTCACAAAGGAGGTTTGTTGATAAACCAAGGTTTGTCGACAAACCTCCTTTTGTTTCGCCAAACCTCCTTTTGTTCTTTACAAACCAGGTTTGTAAAAAACGCGTAAAAACGCGTCATATGACGTACGAAAACCAAGGTTTGACGACAAACCTCCTTTGTGAATTTGGGCCCTTGTGTACACATACATGTTGTACTTGCCTATGAATCTCAATGATTAGACATAAGAATTACATAATAAAATGGAAACAAATACTAATGTAAAGGATACAGATGTTGGTCATGCTGTTCACAGGCATCTAATCAAATGGTGGTTGTACGTTACATTGTAGCTTGATTAGTTTCAATGGATCTGTAAAGATATAAATGAAATGTGAGTTAGGGGTTAGAATAATCATGCATTGGTACATTTATAAACATGCAATTAATACTTAGTACAAGTATTTATGTATTTCATAATGAAAAATTCAAAGGCACAGAACATGTGTGTACAAAAGTATGATGGCAAAAAAGATGCCAGGCTGACGACGAACGGATGGTGAAACGACAGAGTCATCAAAGAGCTGTCAAGGTGCATGAAATGTAAACCACTCAGGTAGGCAATTAATTAGAGTTATTTTATTCTTAGATATATTGGGTGTACATACATAAAATAAAACATAAAAACACAGAAAAGAAAATAGTAAAGGAACAATTTTTTGAAGAAAAAAATAAAAAGGAAAGAGAAAAATAATGTAGATCTAGGTAGAACTTGTGCCACCTGCAAATTATTGTTCTAGCATAATGATGAGGTAAACTACTCTAATATTTTGATGTCAGATCTTTACTAACAAACATGAAATAAATATACCAAAAAAAATTATCAACAATAGATTTAGATTTCTACTTAGTAAGGACATACCTCGCAGACACATTCTCGGACTTGGAAGACTTGCTCTTCTTCTTGCGTGTTGCTTCAGCAGGTTGTGTTTTCTGATTCCTAGAAAAATAATTTGAGATACAATTTAGCCTAAAACCACATCAAAACATTATATCATGCAAGGCAATATAATTGACAGACGTAAGGTTAAAAAATCTGAAATTTCTACGTGGATTTATTGTAATCACGTTTGTTTACATTCACTCATTCACTAACGTACAGACACTAGCCTACACTGCACTTGGGGATTCACTACACCTCACTCAGAAGTTGTGTAGTCGCTACAACCTCAACACTACATGGGAATATTGATACGTAAAATAACATTCTATACTATGAAGTAGCATTATATTCAACAACAGACATCATAATATAATTAAGTTTTAGAAATAAACGTACCTTTTCAGCTGTTTTCTGGGGCCAGTTCCGCTCGTCGATGGTCCGTTATTCGACAACAAACTCGTATCTCTACGAGTGGGACTAATTAATATTTTGAAAATTTGTCGGGCTCATTTTCTTGGGAAGAATCACTAAAATGGGATAAGGAGGCATCGGAGTATGAGGAGTCACTATCTATTGATGAAATTTCATCGCTAGAATAATTGCTGGAAGACATTTTGGTGTGATTTGGAGACGTTTGATGAACGAAAATCAACAAAAGTCGATGCGCACAGCAGTGGGGAAAAAAATAACGGGTCTTTTTCAAATTACGTAGGGGTACAAAGAGATTCGATCATACACAGTATGTCCTCCGTAGAAACTTTATACACACATAGAACGGGAATACTCGATCGAATGCTTTTTTTTCCTATTAATAAAGGGGGGGGGGGGAGAATGGAATTTCTATGTGTACATTTTCTTTTTACACATGGTTTATGTATGGTTATCTTTGAGTGCACTAGTCAGTACTATAGTTTGTAAATAAAATCAAAAATACTAATAAAGGAACAAAATTGAAATTTCGTACATTTTCTTTTTACACATAGTTTATTTATGGTTATCTTTGAGCTCACTATTCAATATGTGACCCCACAACTAAAAAACACCAATAAGTCGCAAAATGAACAACAGAGATAATCGCAGGAGAAGCGGACTTTTGTAATAGGATGCCAGTCATAAACAATGAAAATATGCAAGTTTAGAAAATAGACAAAAAATAGTTTAAAAATTTGTATCATGAAATAAAAAATTAAAGTGCAAAAAATAGGAAGAAAATAGTACTCGCAAATAGGTAAAAAGAAGTCTGAAAAAGATAAAGGTGAACAAATAGTGAAAAAATAGTCTGAAAAAGATTAATGTGAAAAAATAGGAAAAAATAGTCTGAAAAAAATTAAGATGAAAAAATTGGGAAAAAATAGTTTTAAAGTTGAAAAGAGAAGAAAAAAAAATCCTATTTGTTTCATATTTTTTTTGAGAAAATAGGGAAAAAATAGTATGAAAAAGATAAAGGTGAAAAAATAGGGAAAAAATAGTTTGGTACTCGAAAATGGGAAAAAATAGAACTATTTTTTCCTATTTTCTTATACAAAAATAGGAAAAAAATAGTCCACAAAAGTTGAAGGTGAAAAAAAATAAGAAAAAAATAGTTTGTGCTTGAAAATAGAAAAAAAATAGCCCTATTTTCCTATCTTCTTGAAGGAAATAGGAACAAAATAGTCTGCATTTCCAGAAAATAGGGAAAAAATAGGAAAAAAATAGGGAAAAAATATATTTTCGCAACACACAAAACTACTAGCCTAAGGGTACTCAGGATCAAGTGTGATATTCTGATGGCAATGGACAAACAGAAAATCACTCTCCTGCTGCTTTTTGACTTGAGTAGTGGCTTTAACACTACTGAGCACTCCAGCTAGACTACTAGAAACTTTGAAGATATGTTTCGGTATCGACATCAAAAAGTTAAAGTTGATGGTATTGTCTCCGAATCTTTCCAGGTGCCCTTTGGTGTGCCACAGGGCTCTCAGCTCGGCCCTTTGCTGTTTACGTTGTACACATACGAGTAATCTAATTAAGAGCACTACAAAAATCCTCTGGACTGCCATGCATTATGGCTCAAGGCATGGGCACAAAGGGGATTTTTTATGTTGGGAACCGGGGTAAAATGCAATACAATTTATTGCATTTTCTTTGTTTTTTTTTATTTATGGAAAGTGCCCCCTACCCTAGCCCCCGCTGCGTACAGTCATGGTTCAGTGACAAAGCAATGGCCTCGTTACTGTGAGGCCCCAGGATCAAAACCGTGTCGATGTGCTATATTAGTGCCCTTTTGTGGGGCATCAATCCTCATTACTATTCGTTATACTGCAAAGGGGGCAGATCGACGGTTTAGCCCTTCCCTTTATCATTTTCATGATGGGTAACATAATGGCCTTCGCGTGTAACGCCTCTGGAAGACAGAGTATATGCAACACACGACTTTGTTTCCCTTTTTAGGAATCGAGCATCTTTTTAAAGGAGCAAATATATATATATATATATATATATATATACAATATATAACTATATATATATATATAAGTGGAAAGGTTTTCACCTTAGGAAGTCTGAAACAAATATTTCAGATATGTTGTATACTTCATTTCGTAGTAAAAATAGGCGATTGTAGCATGTCCATGAAACTCATTTAATTGTAAATGTCTGCTTGTGGTCAAATATGTATTTTTTAGGGAAAACACATGACAAGTTTCACTTTTTGTAGATCATGAGCTTCCATTAGACATGCAATACGAAAAGAAGGGCGAAACCGCATTTGTTACAAGTGAAAGCTTTACTGAAAATTATTTAATGTCTTTCCCCATCAATTGATAAATGGAAGAACCTGCCCCATTGTCCGAAACATATTAGACACATAGGCCCGAATTCACAAAGGAGGTTTGTCGACAAACCTTGGTTTTCGTACGTCATATGACGCGTTTTACGCGTTTTTTTTACAAACCTGGTTTGTAAAGAACAAAAGGAGGTTTGGCGAAACAAAAGGAGGTTTGTCGACAAACCTCCTTTGTGAATTCGGGCCATTATGTTTCTAGTGCCAAACAACACTGCATATTTTAACATTCGATGGAGCGTAGTGATAGAGCGGGAAAAAAGCTCACTTTGATATGCAGAAGGTTTTCATGTTAGAACACTATAGAGCGATTATTATAATCGGTGTAGTGCATACGAAATGCATACACTTTCTTTTCCTTGAGGTGGCCATCGGTAGGGGGCGGGTTGAAATGTTATTGTCATCAACCCTTTTATCATCACCACGTGGATAATAATGATTCTGAATCAGTGCATTTTCTCGTTTTTATCTTCAGCACGAGACGGGTTGAACGTTACCAACAATGGATTGATTTAATAAAGAATGTTACAGGTAAGTTTGCCTCTAATCATTAATGGTAATCGTTACTTAGGACAACATACTGAAGAAAAACGAAGGTGTATCTTAATTTGAATATTGGGAATTACTAAACAAAACTACACTACTGATACGCATCATATACACCACAATGCGATGATATACACCACCGAATTGATTAAAAGAATGGATAAATGAAGAGATGAATAGTTAAACAACATTACGAGCCAGTCTACGTTCACGCATGAAACTTTTATATATGCAGGATGGCCAGATTTTGTTTAAATGTATGATGATTTGTGTTATTTTCTGTGCTATTAAATGGGTAAGTATCTAACGACAATGAAACCTGCAAGACAATAATCTTTCATCAGTTATGCCTAAGACATGAAACGATCGAGGAACAACAATTATTCATGTTGCATTATATGCACATTTCTACAAGCAATATTACCTTGACATCAAGTACTTATCTTTTGTTATTTATTCCATTTTGTCATATTATCAAGCACCTCATTAATTCCGATCACGTTGATATCGTAGACTCTAACATGCCCTTCGTCCAATCAATTTAAAAACCCTTTCCTTCCTTTGTCAATTGTATTTTAATTCTTACCTGTTGTTATACAGGCCTATATTACATACTAAATCTATATGATTACAATATTTCCTCATTAAAATAATAATCATATAGCATCTATTAAAATATTTCATTTTTAAAAATAGATTTGATATGCATGCACATATCATATCATGATCATGTCCTCATTTAACAATTAAAGAAGCATGGTGTTTATTATGTACCATTCCCTCAACATATCTACACTGCCCCCGTGTTGACATGGTTGACTTTAATCATCTGACCATAGACCTATACGTTTGAGACACAATGCCATGATCTGACAATCCACAGCCAACAATTTGAACATAAAACGTATGAAACGATTGTGACGTTATATTTCGATGAAACATAAATTAGCATAAGGTAGAATAATATCTTCCTCTTATCTACTGGTAACACATACCATATAATATAATGTTGTGCTTTATATCCATATTCCAGCTATGGGACACAGATTACTAACTTTTAGCCGAGGCATGGGGGTGGTTAAAGTTAAACATAATAAAGACAATGCTCACACCGAATACCAGGTATTATACCAAATGAACACAACGTGACCATTATTTTATTCATTGTTTATTTCAAAATCATTTTTAACACGTAATCACTGGTCTTTACACTGACGACCGATCTTTCGACTTCCCAATATGTTTTTTTTAATTCAATCGCAGTGGTTGTAACTGAAATCCATAAACAATATCAATAGGCTCTGTTATATTAATTGTCCCAACTCTTCTCGCTACCATGAATATTAAACTTCATTTGCATTGTCATAGTTGTAAATGTATTAGTATTTCCTAATTGTCTACGTTTATAAGGGTGCGTTCAACCGATTTTTCGAAGCTAAAATCACAAACATGAATCACATATCAAAACGCCGTTACAAAACAAGGTCACTGCGGGAAAGCGTTCAAGCGATTTTCCTTTAGACTGATTCTAGCTCATTTCGAGCCCAGCCACTGCGCATAACACTGCGCAATTTGACCCAGGAAGTATAGGTCAACTTCGGCGCGCACTTTCTAGAATTGTTTACGGCCGACTGTCGACAGCTGTTTTGAACATAGATCGCAATAATAAAACAAAGAATGAGAAGGTGATAGAAGGAAGAAACAAAGAAAAACATAAGGAAAGACAAATAGAGAAAGTCGATAGAGTGATTAGACCAAAGAATAACATAAGAGAAAGTGATAGAATGATAAAAACAAAGAATAACATAAGAGAAGGTAAAAGAAAGAAGAATCAAAGAATAACATAAAGAAAGACAGAAAGAGAAAGCGATATAATGATTAAAACAAAGAATAACATAAGATAAAGTGATAGAATGATTACAACACAGAATAAAATAAGAGAAAGTGATAAAAGGAAAAACAAAGAATAACATAAGGAAAGACAGACAGAAAAAGTGATAGAATAATACAAAAAAGAATAACATACGAGAAATTGATAGAATTATAAAACAAAGAATAACATAAGAGAAGGTGATAGAAGGAAGAAACAAAAAATAACATAAGGAAAGACAGAAAGAGAAATTGATAGAATGATTAAAACAAAGAATTTCATAAGAAAAGGTGATAGAAGGAAAAAACTAAGAATAACATAAGAATAGAAGGAAAAAACAAAGAATAACAAAAGAAAAAGTGATAGAAGGAAGAAATGAAGAATAACATAAGGAAACACAGAAAGAGAAAGTAATAGAATGATTAAAACAAAGAATTACATAAGAAAAGGTGATAGAAGGAAAAAACAAAGAATAACAAAAGAAAAAGTGATAGAAGGAAGAAACAAAGAATAACATAAGGAAACACAGAAAGAGAAAGTATTAGAATGATTAAAACAAAGAATTGCATAAGAAAAGGTGATAGAAGGAAAAAAACAAAGAATAACATAAGAATAGAAGGAAGAAACAAAGAATAATATAAGAAAAAGTGATAGAAGCAAAAAACAAAGAATAACATAAGAATAGGAGGAAGAAACAAAAGAATTACATAAGAAAAGACAGAAAGAGAAAGCGATAGAATGATTAAAACAAAAAATAGCATAAGAGAAAGTGAAGGAATCATTAAAACAAAGAATAACATAAGAGAAAGTGATAGAAGGAAGAAACAAAGAATAACATAAGGAAAGACAGAAAGAGAAAATGATAGAATGATTAAAACAAAGAATAACAAAAGAAAAAGTGATAGATTTATCAAAACAAAGAATAACATAAGAGAAGGTGATAGAAGGAAGAAAGAAAGAATAATATAAGGAAAGACAGAAAAAGAAAGTGATAGAATGATTAAAACAAAGAATTACATTTTAAAAAAAGGTGATAGAAGGAAAAAAAACAAATATTAACATAAGAATAGAAGGAAGAAACAAAGAATAACAAAAGAGAAAGCGATAGAATGATTAAAACAAAGAATAACATAAGAGAAAGTGATCGAATGATTATAACAAAGAATAACATAAGAGAAAGTGATAGAAGGAAGAAACAAAGAATAACATAATGAAAGACAGAAAGAGAAAATGATAAAATGATTAAAACAAAGAATAACATGAGAGAAAGTGATAGAATGATTAAAACAAAGAATAACATGAGAGAAAGTGATATAATTATAAACAATTATAATATATTATTATCATTATTATATTCATAATAAATTATAAAGACTAACCTAAGAGAAGGTGACAGAAGGAAGAAACAAAGAATAACATAAGGAAAGACAGAAAGAGAAAGTGAAAGAATGATTAAAACAAAGAATTTCATAAGAAAAGGTGATAGAAGGAAGAAACAAAGAATAACATAAGGAAACACAGAAAGAGAAAGTATTAGATTGATTAAAACAAAGAATTACATAAGAAAAGGTGATAGAAGGAAAAAAAAAACAAAGAATAACATAAGAATAGAAGGAAAAAACAAAGAATAACAAAAGAAAAAGTGATAGATTTATAAAAACAAAGAATAACATAAGAGAAGGTGATAGAAGGAAGAAACAAAGAATTAAAAAAATTATAATAATTATAATAATAATGATAATAATACTACTAACAATTAGTACCCCAAAAGATGATTGGTTGATGTATGTGTAGTAAAGAGAAGCCATTTAATGATCATAACTTTTAGTGTACTCTCTATAAATTTGAATATTTTTGGGAATGTATAGGTCGCGACCCTCTCTGCTGCGTCTTTACTAGCAATGGAAGTGCAACCCATGAGAGGGCAAAACAGGAACTAAAGCATCACAGCGCCACTGACATCTACGAGGTACCTTACCATAATGACCATTTCTCAGATGGGGAACAGTTGCAGTGGCTTGATCTCCTACATGGATGCCTCTGTAAAGCTGACGAAGTGATGCTATTCAGCAATCCATCATTTCTTAAGAGTCGTGAACAAGAGAGTAAACAAGAAAGAGAAGCACGGAAGAGGCACGAAGAAGAAATCAGAGAGCGAGAAGAAGAAAAGAGGTTCCTTCAAACAAGAATTGCGAACTTAACGCAGTTACTCAACGAGTCCCGTGCAAGTTGCCAAAGCAAAGTAAGCGAAAATGCAAGCCTAACATATTATATGAGGGTTGAACAAGAAAGCCGTGAACAAAGTGATAGGGCTATGATGGAAAATGAGAAAAGAGCAAAGCAGGTTATGGAGAAGTACAGGCAGAGGGAGATACAATTCGATGAAAAACTAAAATCGAAGGATCTGCGTATCAAAACAATGGCAGAAAACTTCCAAAGAACAGAAAGCACGACAACCCTTAAAATTCAACGACTAGAGACCAACAATGAAGATATGACAAAGAAATTAAAGTCCAAGCAACAACACGTAGACACTTTGACAGAAATCGTAGGGGAGAAAGAGCGAAACGAGACGACTCTAAGGCAGCACGTTGAAGAATTAAAGAAAGGAAGAGAGGAAGACAGAGCGGGAATTGAGATGGAAAAACTGTCAGTAGAATTAAGCTGGAAGAAGGAGCTTGACTATAAGGAACAGATTATAGGGCAACTTGAGCGTGAGACCTGGAAGCTGAGAACCAAACTTCAACTAGAAAGTGAGATACGATCAGCAAAGCAGAAGAAGAAAGCAGAGACACGTCAATGGAATTTCATTCGCTGGATGACTCCTGGAAAACAAGCTCTGGGGGGTAAGACTGTTTTGCACTATTTTTCTTGAGTCTCCTTACCCTACCAAATCAATCTATTTATATTATACTCTCTGCATTACCTTAAGCCTTCGGATTTTATTGTTTATTAATGTGTATATATTATATCTTATCACACTGTTATATTGTCTATGAAGGGAAGAAAATAGCCAGTGGGCTTGAAAATGTAATTAGCATATGTATGGCATTGTTATGTGATGATACGATTCTATTATTTTTGTTTACTTATGTTTTAAAAAGAAATTTAAATTTACTGCAGCAATACCACAACCGATCTGGGAATATATTTTTATTAGTAAACTGAATTATTTCAATCTAATCAATTCGTTCTACATTCATGACAGGAATAACGTCCTCTGGAGATAATTCCATTGGAGAATTAGATCAATCAGAAAAGAGCAATGCATCACAACCAGAGTAAGTTGAAACACTTGGAGATTTACATTTTTTAAAAACTTTTCTGATAGCTTTAAGATATCTAAACATCAGCAGTTGTCGATTTACTTCACTGGTTTATAAAAATAGCTTAGAATTTCGATCATCTGTGGTGTATTTATCTTCAAATTCGAACAACAACTTCATCATTTCTTCCTATTTGTCTTCATCTCCTTATTCTCATCAATATTCTTCTTCATCTCCTTCAACTCCATCTTATTGTTCATCATGATTTTCTTTTTCTTTTCTCGTCTTCTTCTCATGTTTTTTTTCTCCTCCACCTCCTCTTTTTCCTTCTTTAACCTTCTCCTCCTTATCATCTATTTCTTCTCCGTTTCCTTCATCTTCCACTACTACTTTTTCTTCTACTTGTTTTTCTACTTGATCTTCTTCTTCTATGTCTTCTTGTTACAAGTGTTAACTCATATTACTTCCTTGATATTTTGTGACATCCTTCTGCAACCAAAACAAGGTATTGAGCTACATTTATTTCTTTCGATGTTTCTAGCATGCATATTGCGGGTGGTTCTGCGTTTTTCTATCATGACACGTTTATAATACATATATACCTGTATTTGCCAACACAAAAAGGAAAATAGCCATTTGATTTTTTTCTAATATACTGTTTTTGGTTGAACATCTCAGGGAGGAACCAACCAATGATGAGTTTGCAGATATCTTGAAGCAGATAGCTCACGATCTTTCCGATGAGACCCAGATCGACAGCTTGGGTAGTCAGTTAGGAATCCTACAGGGTGACATAGCTAGAGCTCTCAAGACCAACATGACATACGAACAGGTTACCAGTAGAGGAACCCATCTCATGTTGAAGCATTGGAGAGAAGGTGTGTCCAAGGAAGACGAGCGGATCGAAATGAGGAGAGCGCTTGAGGCTGCCAAGTTGTTAGGACTTGCTCAACATTATTTCCCACAAGGTAAGGTCATAATACAATTGGCTTACTAATTTTGATTTAATTCGTGATATATTAATAAAAACGGTAATAAATTTATACTCTCCCTGCGTTCCACATAACTATATAGAACCATGGACAACATATCGTGAAGCCGTCATAATCATGCTAATTCTCTGTTTTTTTCATCCGCCTGATAATAAACTTGAAAAGTTAACATGTCACATAAATCAGTGTATACAGGTTTCTTTTTATGTGTTTGTCTGTATGTCGTTTGTCAGATTGTTTTACTTCACTTTTCATTTTTCAACTTGAATTTGGAGGAGGGCTCACTTTAGAGGAAAAGATGTAGCATTGATTCAGGACCAGCCCGTGTTAAAGAGCACTGATGCTAGTCTTGATATTTACCATCTCCAAAATGCAGGAACAGGAAAAGGACCAGAACTCCCTCAGAAAATGGAAGGTTCTCACCAGTTACTCGGGATAGACAACACTCCATCAGCACAAGGGTACTCAGGTGGACAAAGAAATACACGGGAGACTACTGCAGCCACTGACCAACTTCGTCTGCACGACCGGTCCTCCAAGAATCCTGGGGAGGCGGGTGAATGCATGGACCAACTTTCTGAACAACTATCAAACCAGAGCACTGTTGGTGTACATGGTACATCCGAAGACAAGCCCTATGGTGAGAAACTTAGCAACGGTATACTAAGTATTAAATGTTATCATTAATTAATAGGGGATTTAGGATTATCGAATGATCTAAAGATGATATGCGTTTCATTTCAATGAACATTTTCGACAGGGAACTCTAAAACAAATACGAACACATTTCATGATATCCTGAAAACACGTTATTATGGTGAGATTTATGAATACACGTTGATGAAGTTCATCATAATGGATAACGTTCGAAAATATGGTGTGGACATACTTGTTGAAATTAAAAATGTTATAAAATTTGTATCAAATAACATCGACATTAATCTTATTAATTTTCATTTCCTTTTGGTAGGGGGGTTGACAGGACTAGAACACCCTCAGAAAATAGGAGAAGCACCAGGGTCCTCAGGAGGACAGAACAAGACCAATAAGCCTACAACAACAACTCACCAAGCTCTTGACGACACGTCACCCAAGAACCAAAGGGATGAAGGGATTGAAGGTATGAACCAACATTCTGAAGAATCATCAGTCAACAATATCGCTGATGATGTACAAGAAACATCCGTAGATGTGTCTTCTAACGAGCTGTTCGGCGAGGGAACTGACACATCGGATGAAAGGGGTGTAGAATGTACCACCATCAACTATAGCGACTTACTTTCTAATATCGCCTTGACCGAGACATCTTCGGAGAAACTATTGATCATTTTGTTAATGAAAGTAATCATTGATATTCCTCTGAAAGTATTTGGTGGATAAACATATACAGACAACTTTTCTTGTGAATATATACATAGTTCTTACAAATTCATACGTCTAACTTGCTTATACATTTATCTGATACGCAAGTGACCTTTACAAAACTTGACCTTTACATTGTCATGTCAATTACTATGACTATAATAATAATAATAATATTCAGCTATTATATAGTGATTAATACATCTCGGACGTCTCTAAGCGCTGTACAGATATATTATTACCCGGTCATTGAATTCAATGCTTGTCCGCACACAATGTGTGCACAATCTTCACTCCCTGTGGAGCATTCCAGCCAGGCGTTACTTGACGCCAAAAAATGTTTGACCAACCGAGATGTATTCTGGATCTTGATTAATCCTGACTATGGAACCATTATGCTTCCTTTGTCGTCTCAAGAAAAGTGCAAGATAGTTTGATGGACTATTCGATTTGTTTTACTAATCAAAACCTTGGTGTCATAACAAAAAACATAACACTCGCTCTGTATTCACCATAAAAAGTTGTAACAAACTATATTTGACAAACTGAGAATCAAATTCAAAGAATATAAAGTCAACGTAGTACGCCCGTACGTATATGTCCTCGCAATTAGATTTAAAGCTATGCAAATAACCTCATCAAAGGAACGCTAATAAAAAAAGATCCTACGAAGACTTTAATTTACTTTTTTTATGAATGTGTTTTGGCTTGATTATGTTTATGTTAAGTTAGCGTTGGACCTGCAAATCTCAATACCTGATATAATTTATATGCAATTTAAGGACATAAAGAGGAGGAATTTAATGTATAATATTAATATCGAGGAATAGGAGCAACACGATTGACGTCGATCAAAAATCAGGAAAATCAGATTCTGCCACAAAATCTCGTAGAAACCTTATTTTGAAATATATGCCATGCACTATGTGTACATAATGTTTAGAGTGAACTAACTCTCTGTAGAAAAATAAGTTGTAATTCAATTAATAATGTCTGTATGATAAACAAGTTTAATAAAAAGGAACTCAAAATACATACAAATCATAATGGTCTTACTGTCTGCCATTGTATATAGTTTTAAATGCATTGAATATCAAATACTCTCTGTACGCTTAACAAAAGTTTGCTTGAAAGCGACTCATATTTCGTAAAAGTTTCTCAATTCATATTGGTATTACTGTTTTCAATGAATTATATTTCTTTTATACTTTATTGTGATATATTTATGAATGAATACATTACATATCGAATACTCTCTCTACGGTAAAAGAGTATGCTAGAAACGAACTCATAATACATGCATGTTTCTCAATGTTTCCATTGCATATATTTCTTTTATATCAAATTATGACAAAAACATGCTATTAGTAAATGCATTGATTTTAAAATACTCGCTGTACGCTAGAGTTTGCTTGAAAGGAACTCATAATATATGCATGTTTCTATATTCACATTGGTCTTATTGCTTCCCATTGATGGTATTCATTTTCTTTTTTATCACATTGTGACATGAGCATGTTATGAATGAACGCATTGGATATCAAATACTCTGTGTAACGCTAACAGAGTTTGCTTGCAAGGAACTTACAATACATGCACGTTTCTCAATTTATATTGGTTTTATTGTTTCCCATTGTTGTTATATTACATTGTGATTTCAAAAGGTTATGTATATGTTTATCGTAAAAGGTCTTTAGATTTCAAATTCGATTTAATTTCCGATGAGAGATTGTGGGGCATACATATAGCAACAAAAATGATATGTTTGGGGAGAAACAGGTTGAACACAATTAACTTTCCAATGAAATGTAGAATCATAAATTAGTCTATGCATAATGTTTTCATGATTATGTTATTGCTTCTCATGTTATTCGTATGCTGTACGTTTTCTATTTTTTAATGACAATCTGAGCTAGCTAGTACTGTATCTTTAACATTAGACATAATACATGAAAGTTTCTCAATTTGTATAGGTCTTACTGGTTCCCATTGAATATATTGTTGTTATATTACATTGTGATACCAACTGGTTATGTATATGATTTATCGTAAAAAGTCTTTAGATTTCAAATTCGATTTAATTTCCGATGAGAGATTGTGGGGCATACATATAGCAACAAAAATGATATGTTTGGGGAGAAACAAGTTGAAAACAATTAACTTTCCAATGAAATGTAGAATCGTTAATTAGTGTATGCATAATATTTTCATGATTATATATTTCAATGCTTCTCACGTTATTCGTATGCTGTACATTTCCTATTTTTATGCCAATCTGAGCTAGCTAGTACTGTATTTGTAACATTAGACATACCACCACAACCATAAACCTTATAGAATAAAGTGACTGCATTTGCAATATATTCATGTAACTACAGGTACAAATAATTCTCATACGATAATGCGTATACTGATTTTATACCTATATAACACTGGCAAAGCAAACGCATATTATTTGTTATATAGTATACATACATATAGTCCTGTAGAGGTTTTTTCAGACCTGGAAAAGTTGATAAGTATTCCTCATCATAGAAAACCCGTGAACACATACAAGATACAAGATACAAGATACAAGATACAAAATATTTTATTTGGTCTTTGCAAACAAGTTACATAGAAAATTGTTTTCCACTGGCGTTACAGTCATATTCAACAAAATATTTAATTACAAGAAATAAATACTTCACGTTTATAGAATGAAATAGATGAAATAAGGAACAAATACATGCAAAATATAATGAAGCGACAAAAATGGTCATTGGTACATGTACTTCAAATCATGAGTTTCAGAATTAAGCCTTGGTCATTGGTATTTCAATTCATACAATTAATTTCCGACGCAGAAGTTTATCGTTTAACCTGTGAGTTGAATTTATGAACAGAGTCGGGTACAAATGAATATCTGAATCGTGAAAGCCGGTTGGGGGTGGTGCGAAGTCGGATACCAGAACGATTAAATGAATAAAATAAATTAAGTGGATGGGTATTGGCTTTCATGATTGCACAGACCTTATCAACAATTTGCTCAGTACAATGAGACTCGACAGAAGCTAATTCTACCCCAATTATAAGTCGTATTATCCATGTGTTCAGGCTTCCTGGATTGAGATTAGCAACACTATTACATATTGCACATATGCTAATTCGATGATTATGCTAATATGGCTATTAAAAAAATGCCCAAGGTTGCCAAGCTGGCAACCAAGCTGAATTTACTTCAATACCCATCTAGAACACAAATCAACAAAAAAAAACCTTGTACTTATCAACTTGTCCAGGTCATGTACATGGTATATGGTACCGTCTACTGGACTAATAGTTTCTCTGTATGTTCCAAGACGAGTAATGGATATTTGATGATAAGTATAAGCTACACTTTTTACTGGGTTACGTTGGATTCGTACGTCTAGCTTTCAATGTGAAATCTTACGTATGCGTCATTAACTCGAAAGGAATCTTCAAAATCGCATTTGATTTGCACACTTTAGTGTGCATATGGGGTAGCCTTAATTAAAAAAAAATGAAGAAGCTAGATTTAGATACTTTATATAAATCGTCGCTGTTTTCACAAAGTGACAGTAGTGAAAAAAAAATTGCTTTCACTTTGCGTTACGATTTTCCTCACAACCGTCACTTCGTGAAAACAAGGACGAAATAGTTATTCATCCTTATTGAGATGTATGATGAATATTGACGTGTAACTGTGTCTGAAGCTTCTGAGGATGAGAGCCAAAACTAAAAATGTTTGCTAGTTTTTGTAAGAAGAATTTTCTTTTCTCCTAAAGTTAAAAAGACGGCTCCTTAATTTTAATCAGTCCACGAAAAACGTTTAGCTGTTGCTTTTGCATTGTAAATGATTTGTTGGTTTCCAAAATAATTAATCTGACTCATAATCCCATAACGTAGTCAAAAATCAAACATTTTATTCAGATCGGTGTTTAATTTGTAAAATGCAATAAAATATAATCCAATATCATTTAATGTTACTGATTTTTTTTTCTTCTTCAACTTATTATATGTCATTCATTCAATTAGAATTACTTGTGTAAATCTTCAGATATCCATTCAATGAGCGTAAGGCAAAAAACTCCAATACCAACAAACATTTAACTACTACATAATCATAAGATCTATGAACATTGTTTAAAATTCCCCTCGGGTTTTTTCTATTTCTTTTGTGGGGGGGGGGGGTCGATTTTATGTGAAATTACTACTCTACATTTTCTATATTCTATATGAACGATAAGAAATGAAAAAAATAACGGTTGTGTTTATAAAATAATTGCAACACTCCTTTTTGAAGACAAATTTGAATTAATGTTAGAGACTGACACAAAATGTTCAGAAGACAGGTATTTACTTATTGTACCGATCCCATTGAGAGCACTATTGTTGTAACATTTAAAAAACTTGCTACGTTTTACAAAAACATATTTAATTTTCCACTTTTACCCCAAATCTTTACGACATTAACATAACATGTATATTATATTATTGTTATATGATCTACGAATTTTAATTGAAAAATATGAAATACCTTTTAGGATAATACCAATCAAATTCTTGTTCTAATGTTTAAGACAACACGTATGTGTTGACAAAGACTACTTATTCTATAAACAAGCACATAGTACAATTACCTGAAATATTCAACTATGTTCATTTCAGAATAATCACTGGCATAGACATGGCGGTACTTCTTGAATACTTTTATTTTTGCCATCTGGAATATATATATTCACGTGCACATCACACGATATACCGTCGTTGTTTGAATGAATAATGATTACTTTAATTTCATGAATACATATCCAGCATTTGTCTGAATGAATTTTTACAGTTTTTTACAATCCTCATGACCTTTCTCTTCCTGTGTGCAGGTGAAAA